ATGATTAAGTATGAACAAATTGCTATTAGCGGCATATTTTAAAATCAGGGATTCTAAGTTTAACTCAACTTATTGTTATAAAAGAATATGTAGATAAAAAAAGTGTCGATATATGCTTTCATTTTTCTGAATAATTAAAGTTAAAACAGTGTCATTTCTTTTTTAAAATAAAGTATTTACAGTGTCATTTTCGCCAACTAGTAAAACATTTTTATAAGTTTAAAATGGTATTTTTTTTTAATATAATGGCCAAGAGAGTTTTTTTGAACTATGTTTATGAACGGAAATAATGTGTTAATTACATAAAGTTTGAAATCTAATAACCAGAAAAAGTCTAACTTATTTTTACAAAGAGAAAGATGCAAAGTTATCATAATATCTTTGCTTGCGATCTCCGAGATCTGTGGACACAGTGACGTCATGAGGAGGGAAATCGTAGCTTCAGCTCTAAGAGTGGAGTGAACTAGCCCTTCTATTCTCTTTAGCCCTGCAGTGACAGTGCCAATTTGTGCATTTTTTTAAAAAAATAAGTAAATAAGAGAGCAATTTCATTATAATTCAAGTACTGATACAATTGTGTTCATTACCAGGAAAATTTCGCGATCCCGAGCTTGTTTTGTTTGAGTGGGCCCACTTAAAGAAACTGACTTCTTACCAAGGTGGTGTTTTTTCAAAATTTATTGAACGAGATCATTAGGTTTTGCTTGAAAAGCATAATAATTGTCCTTAGAACAAGACTTTTTTTAATAATTAAAGAAAAATTAACTTAATACATAAATTGGTATTTATTCAACTCATTTTAAGAGCTTAGTAATGTGCCGTTAATTATAATGGAAAAATAAAGTAACTGTTCTTTATAAAACAACAAGGAATCTTAAACCTTGCGAATATTTTTTAATTTATATAAAATAATAATTGTTATTGTTAATAAAATTTCCATCACAATTGAACTTTTAATATAAATAATATTGAATTTTTTTTCCAAATATTTTGGCTTATTACAGTGATTTAAATTAAAAATTAAATTAAACTACTTCATTTATAAAAAAATATCTATTTTTATGAAGTGAAATTATTATGTAAATTAGGGGTGTGGAACAAGCAGCCCGACAAACCTTAATGTGCGACCTACTCTAACAACTTGAACAAAATAAAAAGATTAATTCAATTTGTTTTCCTTTTTTTTGAAAAATAAAAAAAAATTCGAAAATGTATAATTGCGCATTTTGGTTTTTGACGCACCCAATCTCTCTCAATGTAGTTCTTCGATTGCTTTTTTCCGTTGGTTAATGCTACGAATTTACGCATAGTTTTGAAAATCCCAATATTTTTAATACGACTATATATCATTTCAAATTTTGTTTATCATGTTTATCACTTCGTGTATGTCGATTTTATGATAAATCCAATGACTTTTCCCCGTGATTTAAAAAATCCTGACATGTGTAGACACACGAGTTATGAATCACGCATTAAAATAATAACGTGCTCTAATTGTGCCGATTTTGACATAAATATAAGAGGTTAAATGTTCTTTTCTTCTTCCTTTTTTGGCAGTTATTGATGTATTGTGACTTTGAATATCCCGATACTTTAACACATTTTAGAACTCATGAAATTCGATTCTATATTTTTTTATAGGTAATTTAAAAAGTACTTACGTATTTTAGCAAAATTGACTCCTTCCCAAAGAGAATAATAATAATAAGTAAATAAAAAAACGATATGTATAAATTTATATTAAATGCGAATCCCTTTTGCAGGAGAACATTTCAATACACGTGCACAATTCTATAGTATCATGAACTTATGCATGTTCAACAGCACATATCCATCAACCTATTCTTTTTCGTGATCGCATGATTTAAAAATCACATGTCGTGACGTGATTCGTGTGTTTTTAAAATCATACGTTTTGATTCTTCTCGTAAATAAGTCACACATCGGGATTCGTATTCTGGAGTTTGAAAAATCATATGCTGTGAATCTTCTTCGCACAATTTAAAAATCACACATCTCGATTTGTATTCACGCTATTTAAATATCACACATAATAATTCGTGAAGTGATTTAAAAATCACACATCGCTATTCGCATTCACGCGATTTAAAAATTAGGAAAGGAAGAGCACCATGTGGGACAAATTCCAAACACTGAATAAGTTATTTGCCCTAAGTTTAAAGCTGATCACAAGATCAGTTTCTGCAGAAAGACTGCTTTCCAGAATGAATTGGGCATGTTCTAGAGATTGTGGAGCAGCCTTTAAAACAATTATCAAATTTTCATTTAACAGACCGAAAAAGCTATCAGATGATCAAGTAGATAAAATTATCACGATATTTGAAAATTTTGCAAATTGCTGGTTAACCCGTAAGAAATTTTTTAAGCCATTTGCTACCTAGATGGACCATCTTGTATCATTTATGATCATATGCTGGGAATTTTGTATATCCTTAAATTTTAACAGTAAAAAAGTGTAATCAAGATGAGCAGCGTAATGTAAATTTTAATTAGTTGTTAATATATATGTGTATTAATTGTAAGTAGTGTCATGTTAAAAAGTATTGGTCATAAGGAGTTGTAATCAAGTATCTTAATAGTTTTTCATTATTAAGGTAAATAATTCCTTCAAAATTAATGGTTTATTTTCTTTTCTCTTATAATTTATTTAAAATGTTTTAAAGTTGGAGTATATTGCCTACTAAATGTTGAATCTTATTTTGCCCTGCAAAGGTTTTGTTTTAATTAAACTTTCATTTAATTTATCAACTAGAGTATTTAATTTTTTTCAATTTAATTATATGAACATTAAAAATTTTTAATGTTAAATTAACTTTAGTATTATGTAAAGTGACAAAAAAAAACCCATGAATTTTCTCATTATTTTGCAATTTATCTAAATTTTTTCTGATAATTGATTCTATTTTTTCCCTAAGTAATCAGTTTTTTATTTTAAACACTTAAAGATATTTAATTTCATGCAAATATATTACATGGTTAACATGTCGTTCTAAATACTTGTCATGCGGCCTTTCAATGGTCAATCTACTGTGAATGTCACCCTTCATTCAAAAAGGTTGTGCATCCCTATGCAAATTATTATGCAATTTTTTTCACATCTTCAAAAAAATAATTTTTCCCCCGTCTATTTATAAAATGTTTCATTTATAAGAATTCGTGATGTTATGCATGAGAATTTTCTTAATTATGACATGTTAAATTAAGTTTTATTCCAAGTAAATACAAGACTCTACTAATATCCAAACATCTTAATTTGTTCTACTTTTTTTTTCCACAAGTCCTAATTTAATATTTTTTAAATTCATTGCAAAAAATATCTTATGAAACATTTTATAGGATTAAAGTACAATTAAGCTTGAGAGGATTTATAATTTTCGAACTAAGATATTTCATATATTAGTTCTCAATGTTATATATAAATAAAATGGTCTAAAACGATTTTTATGGTCAGAAAATTGTTAAGGTTCCTTAATTAAAATAAAATAAAAAATTTCTTAATTTTCTTGACACCCTTTCGTAATATAATTCTCTACTATTGTTATGATTCAGTTCATTAAAAATAGTAAGCGATTTAAATATTTTGAAATTATTACTAAATGGCAAATATGTTACATTAATTTTTATAATTAGCTTTATATAAAATTATTTCTAGCCAAAACTGTTATTAGGAATTAATTTCACATATTACTAAGTAATCTGGCAAAAAACATTTATCTTTTGCTTACAGCTGGTACAATGGTGCACCTTAAGCAAAGGGTTAATTATTTTTAAAGCAGCCATTTTACATAAGGGGTACCATTTTAAGCAAAAGAAGGAATTTATAAAAAAAAACCAATACATTCATGAAAGGACATCTCTTCTTGTCTCTCTAAAATGCTCTACTCTTGATGCATGGTCTCATTACAGGAGATAAAAAAACGAATTATTGTTTCTAATATTTTTGTAAGACTAAAAAATTGTTTCTACCAATTACAATGATACTGAAAATTGAGGAATTTTTAATAAAACCTTATACCTTTTGAAGTGAAACTTAAAAATTAAGCAGTTTTCAAGGACCATGAGCAACCTATAAATAACGTTGAATTAGAGCTTCAATAATTAAAATGAGATTATTGCATAAAATTGTTTTTTATTTTCATTAGTGTTTATTTGAAATTTGAACAGTTTCATATACTGGAGATTCGATAGCCATTTGAATAAAAAAAATTGAATCAATTTGAACATGAGCTTCTAACAACTTATTTATGCCAAGAAAACATATTACAGGGCAAAACTTATAGAATTAATTTCCCAACTGTGCCTAGTGCTTAAAATATTATTTTCAGCAATAGACACTAGTTTCAATAACTATTTGTAAAAAAAAAAACTAGAAACTTAAAACAAGATTTTACACACGTGCACATTAGTTTAATAACAACCCTTTAATTACTAAGGCAACATAATCTTCAGAGTGCTATTTCTAGAAATATTTAAGACAAAAATATTGGGTAATTTTGTTTAAATTTAATTAGTTCAAAAAAATTAATTGCTAAACTATAATTTTTCAGCATAGATTTAAATATTTTTGTATAAATGCAACAATATTGAGCAAGTCGGCTTCATTACAATTAAAGTTCTGTTGTACACAGTGATTAGTAAAGCGGTAGTCAGGTAATGAAAATGTGGCATCTTTTTTGAAACATTACTTAAAACTGTCTATTAAGTTAAGTATCAATTTGATATTTGAAATTCTTAATACATAAGTTATGAATATAAATAGTTTGTTATATATAATTCTGTAAAATGATGCATAAAGTTTCGATGAGATAGAATCTTAACTAAACATTCTCTCTTTGAAAAAATAAATTTTTTTTTATAAAAATTATACAACTTGTAAAAAATAGTGGGTGCTGCTTACAGGATATATTATTAAAAGGCACATTAACTCTGTAGTGTGAGAATTGGAAATTTATTAAAAGACATGCAGATAAACACAGTAATTGTTGAGCAGAAACCAAACACAATAGTTTTATTATATACATGACATACAAAGACATTCTAAAAACACTGTTGCCCTTCAAAAGGTAACACTGAAGTTTTAAACATGCTCTTCTTTCAGAAATTAAACAGATTTGAATATACAGCTGATTGAACCAACTTTCATCACCCAGGACAGGCAAGATGTTTAATAATGACAGGCTGCTCCAGTTTTCATCACTAGGCTAAGTAAATGCTTGTAAATTTGGCTCTGCGACTCTCCTCAGAATAATGAAAAGAACAGACCTGAAATTCAACTTTTAAAACAGGCATGATTGCAACCATTTTCCACATCACCCAAGAGCAGGGCTGTAAACTCTTTATGCTTTTTTTGAAGTGAAACTTAAAATTTTTACTTTCACAATTTTCTAAAATGAAAATCTTAACACTTTGTAAATAAACTCTACAAGTAAATACAGCTCTGCTCAAGAGGTACGGTTGCGCAGATGTGTTGACCCCTTTTATTAGGTTGTTCCAAAAACAGATTTAAAAACTGATTATTATAATTAAAATACTAAACACTCTATAATTATGCTAATTTCTTTTTTATTTCAAATGATTAAATATCTAAAAAAAAACTTTAAAGCAACATTGCTTAGGGTTTAAAATTTCTATAATCCCTTATTATAAATAGAAAACCAGGAACAAGTAATAAATACACTAGAATCATTATGGAACAACCTAACAGCATATAGCAAGGCGGGTTCCCCGAGAGGCATATATTTCTTTTGTGTCATGACCATTTAACACTTTTTCTCACTTAAATCTTTGAATTTCTTTATCCTTAACTTGAAGAGAAGAAATGTTTACATTTTATAGATATCTCAGGCCTTACATTACTTTGTTTTATAAAATTCTTAAACAAGAATGGCACACTCGTTCAAATTAATCAAAAAAGGTAAAGAATGCTATGGATTTTATAAAATCTTTAGGCACTCATTGTTGGTTAAAATGGTCATGTCACTATGCAATAGAACACCATTTATAAATTTCCTAAGACAAGAATTAAAAGGCAAAAGCATTAATGAACATTCTTTTATACTACACCCTTCTAGGATTGTTCAACAAAATTTCTTAATCTTTCATACTGTTATATTGGCTCTACCATTCACAGAGCAATCGATAGAACCTAAAATTAAAGTTATCAAGATTATTTATTTACAAAATACTTAAAACGATTATGAAAAACTGCTTCTACTAGAGCGGTTCTAAATCTTTATAAAAATAGTAGGAAAGAGCCCTACCATTAGAAAAATAATATCTAAAGACATTAGTGAGTTTATTAACAAATTAAAGTATATTTTATTTTGAAATCATAAAATAAGAGGAATGAAATTTTTTTTATTCATTAACAATTACAAATCAGAAATTTGCGTTCATCAGTTGAATGCACATTCGTGGAGTTTTTGGTATAAATACAAAAGCTGAAAATTAAATAAATAGAGAGAAATATGATTTCCATTGAAAGGAAGCTAAAAAAAGCATAAACATTGAAAAGATTGTTGAATCACATTCTTTCTTAACAAATTCAGCTATTCCATTTTTTATTTTGAAAAGCGTAACAGAAAATGCATATATTTTCAGGAATCTTCTCATAAATTATTCAAGTTATAACAACTAAAAAATAACAAATTTTTTATTCGTAGAAAACCCTTTTTTTTAACACAACCACTGAGTTCTATTAAAAGGTAATTGGGAACCACAGTTTCAGTCTATCAATAATTAGATAATAGAGGTTTATGTGAAATTAGACGAGGTACTTACCAATATGTAGAACAATCACACCAAATCCACTAAACTCGTTTATTTTCTCCATTAAACATTTAATTTTAAATCCTGGAAATTTTTCAAGCTGTACATTGCGACCCAGAATTACATCAGGAAGATGGGGTTTCAAATATTTCAACATTGAATCCCCGATTGCTTAAATTCATCTAAATGAAAATTTAGATAAAAAAAAGATTATATATTAGAAAAAATACTCATAACATGCTTAAACAAATACTAGATCACAGAGTGTGTTAACTAATTAAATTCTTTTAGTTTATTTGTATTTCTTTTTCAAGCATTAAAATTCTTTAAATGTAGTTATATGATGTAGTTATATGACAGTTAGGCAGACATAATAACTTAATAAAGCTTTAATTAGCAAAATTAGGCTAGCCGCTGAGGACTACGTACTTATAAACATAAATAGTAAAACAATTGAAAATCAAGCACAGTTATAGTTAAAACAAGATGTTAATAAATATCACCACATTCACCCCGAGCTATTTTAAGAGTTCAGGGAGTGACTTGAATCAGTCAGTAACAAAGTCTGAAAGATAAGCAGGTGGTCTTCGTATTCTGGATGTAGTAGGAGGCAAAGTCTCTTCCTGTTTTGGTCTCAAAAATGAATCAGTGTTTTCCGAAGAACAGGTCTCATCAAGTGAGGATTCCAAAAGTTGATCATCAGTAGCCTCGTGGGAGCTGTCAGCAAGTGGGGTTTTTAGTAGAGGGGTTGCTAGCATATCTGCATCAAGGGCCTTTTCAGGAAGTAACCCTCTAGGAGCCAGGTGACGGACATTAACAGTAGTTTCCCTGCCGTCAGGTAACCTGACATGAGCATATCCCGGATTAGCCTCCAACAGCTCCACTTCTTGAACCATGGGCTGATACTNATCCAAAGCAGAGATAGCGGCCGAGTAGCTGGTGGCTTCACTTATTGACTGGAAAACATTTGCAGATACATAATTAATTAGGAGTGGGAGTTTATTATCTTCAGCAAGATTAGGCACCTTTGACAAAAAGTTTTCGAAAGTTTTCTTCCAATGTAGCCACTTATTTTCAGCGTTAGCACACGTGGGGTCGAAGTCGAAACGTTCCGGTTTCAGAAAGTTTTCCATGACGATGAATACCAGTACTCACATTTATCAGAATATAATTTTGCTAATTAAATTGTTGTGATAATCAATTTAGGCAGACATAATAACTTAATAAAGCTTTAATTAGCAAAATTAGGCTAGCCGCTGAGGACTACGTACTTATAAACATAAATAGTAAAACAATTGAAAATCAAGCACAGTTACAGTTAAAACAAGATGTTAATAAATATCACCACAATAGAATAGAGTATTTAAAATCCAAAACTATAAGTAAAACTTTTGAAAATAATAAAACCCTACAACATACCATAACAGATCTGATAACATGCTTGCGGAATTGAATATAATCACGGTTTCTTTATATTAGCTATAGGTTGTTTATTCAACATTTACACTTGCATAGGAAAAAATTATTCTTTTAGTTTATTTGTATTTCTTTTTCAAACATTAAAATTCTTTAAATGTAGTTATATAAAACATATTTTAGATTTTAACAAATGAAACAAAATTAAGAGCTAAAATTACACCTTAATATGATTGAACTACGCATACAATATTACATGAATTATACAATACTGAGTTATAAATTACACCTCGGGTTTTAAAAGTTAAACAGATCAAATGTTTTTCGTAAGCAAATGCATGCTCGCCACCTAAACACATTTTGCTATAACTGTCTAATTTATGATATCCGAAGATACAACACAGAAGATCTATGTACCATAATATATTGCAGAATTGTAGTCATACATTATTTTCTGAACTGTTTACATTTATAGAACATACGTATACATACATATACATTTAAAGAAAAAAATACATAATATTAACAATCAAGCGATTACAATATTTAACACTAAAAAAGGTAACACGTGATAAAATAAGAAGATGAATAATATAGAATAGAGTATCTAAAATCCAAAACTATAAATAAAACTTTTAAAAATAATAAAACCCTACAACATACCATAACAGATCTGATAACATGCTTGCGGAATTGAATATAATCACGGTTTCTTTATGTTAGCTATACGTTGTTTATTCAACATTTACACTTGCATAGGAAAAAAAAAAACACTTAACTATATCAATTATCGAGCGATTATAATATTTATAAATATAAGATTTTACACGCGATGTAATAAACAAATATAACATAAAAATTGAATATCTTTTAAATTCAAAGCTTATAATAAATAAACTTACCATAAGAGATTATCCAAGTCTTAAAATCAAGTATTAATTACTAAAATTAATAAAATCAATGTATACCAATAGCGAATCTAACACGTGCTACAATGACTACGAATGGAGCCAAAGCACAACGCAGAGCAAAAGCACTGACTGGCGACTAAAACAGCAAATAATGAAGCCACGAGAATTAAAATAGTAACCTTTTAATCATTGCCACCGCATAAAACCGACCTTCACTTCCTTTTAATCTTAGGCGAAAATCTACAAAAATCAAATTTTTTAGTGCCGTAGATAGGAGGAACTCGCAAGAGGAAGTGAAGGTCCTATCTTCCCGATGGCAACGAAGAACCGGTTTTCGTGGTTTATCTTATTATTGGCGTTTAAAAAAAATTTATTATCATCTTTTTTTGGTGAGTGTTTAGTTGTACTAGGTCTGATTTAGAATATAACAATAAAAATATAAAAAATGGATAATAAATTATATTTTTACTTTTAAGGTTAATAAACTTTTAACTCGATTTAGAAATATGTATTAACTTAGTTAATTACTTATTAATAAATAATTTAATTTTACAATTCTAAACTACTGACAGAGCCTTTAGTGGAGTGTATTTTTATGCAGAGCTGCCATCTAGTGTAGGAATTAGTAAATCCCTACAGAAATGAAAGGAAAATAGAAAGAAAATTAATTTTGGGAATAAGAAAATTAAATTTTGGGAGGGATGCATTTTCGTGTCCTTGAAAAACGAGTCGTTTAAGAATTTTTTTACAATTTAAAACAAGAATTTACTGACATAGTCAAAAAGTTTGGAAACAATTGCTAATATATTCAGACGACGAAGACTATTGAAGAAAATGAAACTTTTACAATTTAAATAATGTTTTTTCTTTCCTTCAAAAAACTTAAAACAAAAATTATTTTTGTAAAATAGTTTAATTTGTATAAAAAAAATTCCTTGATGCTATGTTGACATTTTGCTTTACACTTACCTTTAAAAATATTTGATTGCGAATTGAATTAAATTATTAGTTCATGTAGATTTAGTTGATCTTACTATACTTGAATATTATTTCAAGAGCACAATAAGCTTGAAAGCAGCGGTTTTCTTTTCCGCCCGCGCTGAAAATGCCTTAAACCTTCTTAGGAGAAGCATTATAGACATGCAATAGCATTTCTGTGAAAATAAAAAAACAAAATGTTTGCATATACATGAGTTGGTTTTTGAATTTAAATATTTAAATTTAAGCAAAAGGAGGGGGGGGCGCACATTATTCTTAATCTATAGCTTTAAAAATTATCTTGTGTGTGTGTAAAATTATCTAAAGTTAATGTTAGCCTCTTCTGAGAAAGAATGGTTCTTCGAAAATTCGTTGTTTTGACGCTTCAGCCTTTTAACTTCGTCTAAAGAAGGAAAACAAATTATAGTCAATAAAATTTAAGCGAGAAAAAAACAATGTCTGTGAAAACCAGCAAATCCCAGTTTTGGGGTAAATAGCGAAACATATTTGATTTTCGGGTGGAACAGAAAGAAATTGAAAGTAGATCGGTAGAACTATATCTAAGAATCATTAGGCAATCAAATCAGTTTTGCCGTTTTTTCATCTTTTCTTCTTAACTGGGAATTTGATAGTTTCCAACTATCTTTTTGTTACTCCTCGCATATCAGCTTGCGACCTATAATTGAATATAATATTTAGATTAAATTATTAATACATATTCATATAAACAATTTATATTAAGAATGAGAAAATGGAACACTCTGTTCACATATTTTAAAAATGTTTGTGGCACTTGAAGTCGCAATTTGATTAAAAACTTCATGTTTGGAGTCGCAAATCAATGTTTCAGTCAGAATTTTATCAAAATCTTAGGAATCACTGCTGAGCATATAAATGGATTTAAAATTAATTAGAAAAATAGCAATAATCCAATTTATCAAACTAATAAATTATACCAATCCAAATAATCAAACTAATAAATCTAGCAATCCAAACTAACTAATAAATCTAGCAATAATCACTTTACATCCCCATTTAGTCTATGGCATACAAACTGGTCTTNTTTTTTTTTTTTTTTTTTTTTTTTTTTTTTTTTTTTTTTTTTTTTTTTTTTTTGTTTAAGCATAGGCGTAGTAAGCATATAATTTTTCAAAGTTCTTTTTTAACCCCTAAAAGATAATTTTTTATTAACAATTTAAAAATTTTAGATGGTTTTTAATTTAAATCATTTCACGATTATCACATTCGTGTAAGTGTTACTGTAAGTATCATTTAAGGTTTTTTTTTTTTAAAAAAACTACATAATAATTCAAATAAAATTTTTTAGTGAAACAAAACAAAATTTAAGTATTATTGGTAATTTTTAACTACATTTGAAAGTTCGGGGGAACCACGCAAAAACTATGCAACTTTGGCAATTAACAGATTCGTTCGTGCAGGGTAAAAATGTGTTAACTGTAATAATTTTTTTTCTCTCCGGTTTTTGTTTTTTTTTTTTTCTTCTCTTCTTTCATTGTTCTGTAATTTTTCCCTTGTTTTCTCTACATTTTGAACTTATTTTATGAGTTCTATTTTACTTACAGCTTAAGCGCAATAAATAAAACTTATTGTTTTTCTTAATTTTCTTCGTGTTTTTTTTTATTTATTTTGTATGCTATATATATATTTATATATAATTTTCATAACTACTTTTTCCTTCTGACAAATATTTTACAGCATAATTGTTAACGTGAATGACTGAAATCAAGAGAATGTCGATTTTCACCGGTGAATGTCAACAATTACATAGTCGCTTTGGTGAATGTCCGAAATACTTGTTATATCCGATTAGATATTACTTTATTCGTCGATATTATTTTATTTATTCTCTATTTTAATATCTTTAACCTAAGGAAGTACGAGCCATAACCCAAAACTTTTGATTTTTTCTTAAAAAATTCTTTCTTTAAATCCATAAAATAATACTTTTATGAATTAAAAATTTATATGTAATTTAGCAAACTAAAAGCGAAAATTTAACAATGCAACAAAATTTAAGCATTATTGTTAATTGTTGTATTTATTTAGTTTATAATTAGGGTTATTTGCTATTTACGAAGGATAAATTTTCTTTTAATTACCTTTATTTTCCATTAATATAGTGACATAATTTTTAAAGACACCTTTGTTAGAATCAAAAGTTCAATTTTGATTTTTTTTTCTTTTACACTTTTAAATAACTTACAGCATTATCGAATTCAAAATTCGCATTCTGAATTTTCAAGGATTAATTTCTTGATAAAACGTGATAGACTATGATGATTGTTCTTAGAATTTTTAACTAATAAGTTCCATTTTATACGATGTATCCTTTTTTTTACTACGAATTAATGTGAAATATGGCGCAAGGTTTTCTTAAATTTCAGTAAATGGTGGTGCTTAAAACTATTTTATTTCATTATCAAATAACTTTAAAAAATTTCATTTCGACCTTATAAGACCGGATTGAGTCAAATGCATAACAATATTAGGTGGCAGATTATGCAATTTTATTCTTTTAGCTTTTAAGGATATTCCATATCTAATAATTACTCGGTTAAATAATAAATGTATGTTATAAAATGTCTTACTTTCTCAAAACTGTACGGAAATAAGTTACGAATGAAAAAAAACAAACTGTATTTAGCTTTTTTACATTCTGATTGTTCTGGGCAAAGAGAATATTTCGCTAAATACAAGCCCAGACAAATTTATGTAAATACCCAGTTTTTCTATTGTATTTCATAATAATTCACGCTATTTTTCAATCACAACTGAATTAAGTTAAAATAAAGTATTATTTGATATATTTACTCTTACAGGAAATAGAGTATTTAAAAGTAGCATTTTTGTGTATACAATACTTGGATTGGTAATGACGTCAAGCTTTTCTTAAGAATTTTAAGCTTTTACTCAAACTAATTAGTGAGAAACTTTGTGTAGTCTATTTTTTTTTTAAATATAAAACAAAACATCAAAATTGAGGCTTGCTATTTCTTCTCAACATGCCCTGAATGCCTTAACTTACACTTACATCAACATGTCTTATTACTTATACTCGCATTAACATCGCGTTAATTATTGCCGATGCTGGCAAAATTTCTGTTATTTTTAGGCTCTAAAACTTTCAAATTTTTTACATGATTTGTACGAACATTCATAGATATATCAATTCAGAGCATTCTTATTAAGAAAAAATTTAGATTATAAAAATCATTAAGTAGTAACGGCGAGTGTATGCCTTTTAGTTTAGCATACTTAAAAACGATGTCATAAATTTTTATATCAATTATTTTCTTAGGCTCAACGATTGGAAACTTTCTGTATTCGTATAAAAATAAAACATTATTAAGGAATATAAAAGAAAAAGGTACCTCAGTTAAATTATTTATCTATTTAATATAAATTATAATTTATCTATTAAGACTTAAATAGTCCAAATTTATTTTTTTTCTTACCCTTTCCCATCCAATCATATAAATTTTCGGGACGCTTAATTTGTATTTTAGGGTTTCTTCAATTTATTATTCTCATTCTCGACCGTATTCGTAAAGGTAAAATACATGCACCGGAAATGTAGGGTAATACAATTTTCTATAAAATGCATGACCTATTGTTTAATCTAAAATTAACTAGTTTCTAAAATAAATAAATAAAAATAAATGTCTCTTTGAAAAACTGATCCCGCTGCCTTTAATATTATATTTTTTAACCATTGTTGAAATAAAGCTAGCATGAAACGAAACATCTATTTTGTTTTTATTTTCTGGTTAATTTTACACGTAGCGTGAAATTTTTTGACATATTTGCATCGAATGGGTTCCAAAATACTTTTTCAGACCGTCAAATAAATTGGAAAAACAGCGGATTTAGAGAGGATCAGATTGCAAAATGCTTCAAATACAAAGGATGATGGAAAATTGTGATCCATAATTAAGTATTTTATCTTCTTAGTTTTTATTAATATCTTAAATTTAATAAGTACAAATATAAATTATGATGCGAATCTTCTACACGCTTCCTCAATGATGATTCATAAGATTTCGAAAAGCTTATTTTCTTCCTTGTCTTCCTATTTCTGGGTTACTTTAAAAAATTCCACATCCATTATTTTACAAGAGAAAAATAATTTTTTTGAAATGTACCATAAAAAGTAAAACCTTTATTTTCTGACATATTATGATTTTTTTTAATAAGTATTTTGTGTTCTTCTGAAAAGTGTTCTAGGTGTTAATTGCTCAGAAATTGTTCCAAGTAGAGTTATTGCTGAGGAATTGTTCCATC